ATAACACGTAAACCGTTTACATAGTTAAACAAAGCGTAACCACTTCTAATCAGGAATAAATAAATGCCTTAATAATAATAATAAGATATAATAATGGTAATAATAATAATTATTAATGTTTAAATCTATATAACACTGTGATAGTTTATGATATGTATTTGTGTACTGGACAATTGAATGTAATATGCCTAATAAAACTGAATTAAATGTTTTTTTTTTCTAAAATTCGTCGTCTGGGTGCACTTTAAATTTTTTACCTCATCGATAGGGTGGGTAGATTGTAAGTACTGTATGAAAAGAAATTTTACATTATTGTGTATTAAATACAGACAGAAAACTTTATAGAATTTCATATTTAAATTCTCATTAAAAATTCGGTAATTTTGTTTGATTGTAACTTGATATAAGGAAATAAACAAACCCCTCACGGAAGGAAACTTCCGGTAATCTATGATGTTTTAGTTTATTTATTTCGTTAATAAATAGTATTGAAATACTTTCAAATTCTCTGTTGACGATTGCAATTTCAATTAGACTGGAATCTAGGTTTTAGGTAATTAAGATCTGTCATTTTTAACTCACAACATGGTCGTTAAGTTCATAGTTATCATCTACACGTTGAATGGGAATCGCTCTCGATAGCAAATATGTTTAGAGACGGTAGTGCATTTTTTTTCTATATAACAAACACAGACGCAATGAACACGTTTTACGGTGGTAGGACCTCTTGTGAGACCGGGCGGGTGGGTACCACCGCCCTGCCTATTTCTGCCGTGAAGCAGTAATGCGTTTCGGTTTGAAGGGTGGGGAAGCCGTTGTAACTATACGTGAGACCTAAGAACTTATATCTCAAGGTGGGTGGCGCATTTACGTTGTAGATGTCTATGGGCTCCAGTAACTACTTAACACCAGATGGGCTGCGAGCTCGTCCACCCATCTAAGCAATAAAAAAAAAACATTGCGGATTCAAAAAAAAAAAGAACTTATTAGTGCATACCCAAGCATTTGCGTTCTGTATATCTTAAGGTGGTAGAGATGTTAATACCGTAACGGATTCAGGAGCTGTTCCCTTGAGTCACGTGTATCTCAATATATAGGTTAGGCCAGGGGTCGGCAATCTGTGGCTCGCGAGACACATGCGGCTCTTTGGATATGAAACTGCGGCTCGCTAGTTCCATACGCAAAAAATATATATTTTATAAAAAAAAAAAACATTAAAAATTGTTCTGAAACGACTAACGAGGTTTGGGCACCATTTCTATCTCTCATCCCGTTTTTGTAAGTAAATGTTTAATTGTTTTATATTTTTTGCTTAAATAATAAGTGATTATGTAATTTGTTGTAAAAAACACTACTTATATAAGAATAAACAGATATTTTTCTTATGAATAGTTAGATTGAATTTTTGGCTCTTGCGACTCAAAACGTTGCCGACCTCTGGGTTAGGCCATAGTTTCGCATTTCTTTGTTAAGACATTCATAAATATATATTAATTGATTTATTGAAAATATATGTATATATAAAAAAAAATATAGTAACTCAGTAATAGAATTTATAGTTTTTTTACTAAAATAATTGAAGTTAGCCATAAACATGCGGAATACCATGTTATGTTGCGTTATTTCATTCCACAATGCTGTTGCATGCCTAGTAATTTAATTCGAGTTAACACAAAAGTTGACAGCCACTGCCAATATCATTATGACATCACTGAATTCAATAGGTTTTCGGCACATGTGGTAAAATCGATATGATTATATTAAAAAAATTACAATTATGTTCTTTGAGATTTATTTATGAATCGAAATCATTTCCATTCGTATGTAAATCGAAAAGAAAAAAGACATAGAAATCAGTTCAATTTAAAAAAATATGATTTTTTTTAAAAATATGTTTTGGATAAAAAATATCTTAAAAAAAAAAAGAATCATGTTGTTGATCTTAAAACAAATTGTAATGTAATTGTGTAATCTCATGGCTGAGCTTCTAAACGACGAAACAATGATTATGGACCTAATATGATAAATGTATATAGCTTAATGTATATAGAAGAGGTGTAATATAATAAATAAAATAACAATAATAATAAAATATGTACGTTAAGATTTTTCTTGTTTTATTTTAAGACGTTACCTAATAGGTTAAAACTAAATTCTTATTATTTTTTTAAAATTTTATTGGAAGGCTGAATGTGGACTGCCTGGTGTTAAGTGAATATCAGGGCTTATAGATTATAATTATAGATATTACTGGTGGTAGGGCCTCTTGTGAGTCCGCACGGGTGGGTACCACCACCCTGCCTATTTCTGCCGTGAAGCAGTAATGCGTTTCGGTTTGAAGGGTGGGGAAGCCGTTGTAACTATACTTGAGAGACCTTAGAACTTATATCTCAAGGTGGGTGGCGCATTTACGTTGTGGATGTCTATGGGCTCCAGTGACCACTTAACACCAAGTGGGCTGTGAGCTCGTCCACCCATCTAAGCAATAAAAAAATAAAAAGATATTAACGCGAATTTCGGAATTCAAACTGTAAGGCATGATTGCCGCCCGGTGGACATAGACAGGGTTGTTATCTACCTTAGCCGGCTTACAATGCGTCCTACAGCCAATAAAGTTTATTTTCACTTGAAAATACTTAAACATGATTAAGAGCACTCGTTTTTAATAGCGATAATGACATTTGCGGAATAGTTCATGCTTATTTCGTGCTGAAATGAGGGTAGCTGTTTTTTTACTGGTGGTAGGACCTCTTGTGAGCCCGCACGCGTAGATACCACCACCCTGCCTATATCTGCCGTGAAACAGTCATTTGTTTCAGTTTGAAGGGTGGGGCAGCCGTTGTAACTATACTGTTAAGGTGGGTGGCGGCATTTACGTTGTAGATGTTGGGCTCCGGTAACCACTTAAAACCAGGTGAACTGTGAGCTCGTCCACCCATCTATGGAATAAAAAAAAAGCCATTGTAATTTTAATATCATTTCAAATTTAAAAAAGAAAACAGCATTAAATTTTCATTGATGCTGAGTTAACTAGAGCATCTTCTGCCTTCGCCCTTATGTACGAGATGTATAGTTGAAAATGTTTTAAAACTGCTGTTGAAATACGAAAGGCAATTCAGCCGTAGCTGTGTCTCAAATCGGGTGTTATTATTTTAGCCCACGGACGTCCCCTGCTGGATATAGACCTCTTCTAAGGATCGCCATAATAATCGATCTTGTGCACCCTGCATCCAGTGGATCCCAACGACTAAATCTAAACTAAATTGGGTCTACATTAAAACAAAACCATTAACAAGACGTATTTGGAAATAACTCGGGTATCCGGATTCGCAATCTGTCGTGCTTAAGGCCGGTAATTAAGTTTTAAATCAACCATATACGTCTGCCAGGGTTTATATTTATAATCTTAAAATGGAAGGTTGCCGAATTAGTGGTATTTGAGGGACTTTAAATAGAGAATTTTTAGAATTACACGAAAAAAAATAGCGCCTTATTTGAAATAATTAGTCGTGAGTCACGTTCATGGATTTGAGCGGTTTTTTTCTGCTCGATTGTGGGACAATAGCGTTGATCGTATTTCGGGGTAAATCTGATAAGATTTCAAATGAGTTACGTTGTTCTTCCTGGTGGTAGATTCAGCGAAGCACTTCTCTTTTTGAGGCAGATGTTAGTCAGTTCTCTCAAGCAGAGCTTAAGCCCATAAGCTCGGATGCCCATAAGCTCGGATGTTGTCGGCAGATAGGCAGGCTAAAATAGAAAAGATAGCATTGAACAGTGTCAACGTTGTCTCTTAGTTTGTGTGTATTTTTGACACTAATTAAGTACTTAGGTATTAGTTAACGTTTGAGAAAATTCCATAATTTATGTGAAGCTTATTAAACAAAATAAGATGTGTTCTAAAAATAAAACGCACGTTTCATTCCTTCGCAATTAAAAAAATGCAACGGTATTTTTGCACGTTAATACCTTGTAAGCGAGGCGAAGACCAGTTCTTAATCGCTCTACTTAAGGATCACTGCACGCGAGCCTGCTTAGCACCTTAAATGCATCTGAAATGTAATCTGTATTTTCCTTAATACAATTTCTTTAGAAACTCGCTTCATTCGGGCCATTAAAAGAGCGTGCTTTAAGTAAGAGCGATTCTCGTGTTAAAGCGATTGATTTAGTGACAATATCTTGTCTAGATTTATTCGATACGTCACGAATTCGAACTCACAGCTGTTAAAGTTGAATACCTTTATTTATTTTTTTCGGGTCGGTGGCCGTACCTCCTACGAAGTCCCCGCCCCTATATGAGACTGGTCCGCGACTGCGAGACCGCGGGCTCAAGGATGTTTTCAGGATCCTATCTACTAAACGTCTCTCCTGGAAGTTGAATACCTACTATTGCTTTTTATATAGTTTTTTTTCTCCTATGAGGATGGAGGATTATCATATTGTTACGCGCTGGGGTTCGGGATAAATAAAACTCCACCAAAGTACAACTAAAAACTGTATTCAACACTTAGAACACTTAAAACCTTCACAAACACTTTAAAATTCTCAATTCGCTTCTTCTGCTTCGCTTCAGGTGATCCGTTCGCCGTTTCGCTTCGAGTAGTTCCGATTACTAACTGACTGCGTGCCATCTCTGCAACGCTTTTATAGCCGATACCACATCCCTAGAATTATCGAGAATATTCCACATATTTCTAGTATTGTGTTTCCGCTATCTGACAATAGATGGTGTTGTACTTCTCGAGCGCTCTAGGTGCTACTAGTTCCTTAGATATTCGTTCGACTATTCGGCGATAGATGGCGTTACTCTTACCGGCGCAACAATACGCTTCCAGTAATATTGTAAAAAGGTTGTATCTATTCATTTGCACGGACTTTTCGAACGTTCTATTTCGTACCGCTTTTTCGTTGTTTCTTGTACCACATCGCAGCCGGCCTCGTAAATAGTGTTGGCGGCGAAAGTCACTCCTCGCTTGAACAGTCAAGTTCAATAACACGACATAACAGTACACCGTTGCCTACCGCGCTGGATACATCTCCGTTTTTGATCTTCAAGTTTAATTATACATGGATTAAAATGCGACATGCAATATTGCTACTGATCTGTGCGGCGCCTGCTGTATTGCCAAAACGCACCGTAAAAATACCTCTGTGGAAACGACAGGTGAGCGAGACTTTTGTTTGTTTGTAGTTTGTTTTTAAAACTAGAATTAGAATAATGACTATTACCTACTTACACATTTTATATGGAATCGATCTATATATTTTATGTTTGTGTCATTGAATAAATAATTTTTAGCCATTATAATTAATCTAGAATTATGAAACTTGATTTTTGAGGGCTTTCCGATATTATACGATATTATAATATTATAGTACGATCGAGATGGTAGTGTTCTGTTAGTTTTTTGAGATTTCGTAAAGACTGTTTATCTTTGAAAATTTTTAATACAGAATTTGTAGGTGTATTTGTATGGTTATTATTTGATGTATTTTTGTTTTATTTGTACTGTTTATTTTTCTCATATTTTTGAGGTCCCATAGATTTTCTTTAATGCTTTTTAATCAAGGTGATTATGTATTGAATAATTTTCGATTTTAATTTACTTTTTTTTTGTTTATATAGTTCTTTAATCAAGTCTAACTGCCTAGGCTTAGATTGACAAAAAAAAATCGTGCGCTCTTTCCGCAGTGACAGTTTTGCTTTGATTTGAACTCGTACCTTATTGCCTTAAGGTGATTAGTTACGTAATGGTTTTTATTAAAAAAAAAACCTACTAAAATAATATAAGTATGAACTGTTTCCACATTTTTCTCGTGGCATACTTTCTCGGCTTTCACGTGTCTCGATACCTATTAGAAAGTTCCAGTTGACTGTTGACTCACCGAGATCTTCGCCGATCCTTAGGAGGACTTATGAATACCTTTGGAGGGCTTTCTATGTATTTGTAAACATTATCGATCAATGTAAAGTATGACCGGTTTTTTTTTAAAACGAATGTACTACAATCTTTAAGAGGCTCAACGCCCTGCGCTCTTCACTCAAATTTCTATTTTGAGTTTCGTCGATAAATAGTGTTTTGGGCCGGCATGATCCGATATTGACGCCTTGATGAATTCTGCTGTTAGCAAGGGTCGTTTCTTCAGTGCAACTGAAAATCTCCGCATATTAGCTCAACGTATGGTTGTGAATAAACATTAGCCAATGTTTTCCTCTGCTAATTAACAAGCATTCATATATTTTTTTAATATCATTGACCAAATTGAAAAATAACATTTACGCGATACACGAATACTATTCTTCTTTGCCTGAAGACCATGGGCCCTTTTCGTAATCTCTCGTAATGAATATAAAGTTTTTGATAATACGGTAATTTATTTAGAGGGTGTTCTGGAATAATGTGGGAAACAAAAAAAAATAGGCTAATTATCCTTGCACAAATATTTTAATATATCTCTAAATGAAAATCGTTTTCATGATTTCCTAGGTGATATTAATTATTTGATTAGATCGATAGAAGGCAGCGTCTCTATAACCTTATAAAATGCTGATGCTGACTACAAATCGAACAAATATTTTCATCTTCAAAGTAAAAACTCAAGTAACGACATTAACAAATCTATATATATATAAAAATGAATTGCTGTTCGTTAGTCTCGCTAAAACTCGAGAACGGCTGGACGGATTTGGCTAATTTTGGTCTTGAACTATTTGTAGAAGTCCAGAGAAGGTTTAAAAGGTAGATAAATATCTAAATTCCTTTTGTTTGTTTTAAGTTTATGTTATACAAAAGTTTAGGTCTTTTACTTATCGATTGAGGCACTACGAAGTCTGCCGGGTTAGCTAGTTTTAAATATATTTCATATGTTATTTCATATTGCATTATTTCATATTTTAATCTCCAAACGGTAATTTCACCTCGAGTGTATTTTAATAAAGAAAAACATTGAAAAACATTAGATTTCTGTGATTATTTGTATTCCTTTTTATGCACTATACAATGACCGGTCGTTTCTATACTTGATATGCAACTCACATAAGAATTCACTTTATTTTATAAGGCTTCACTTTCTCCGATGCGTATCCAAACCTGTTAACGTTACGTCGTTGATAGTAAAATTTTTTTGGAGCGATATTAGTAGGTTATTAATGTTATTACGTCAATGTTACGATGAAATAGGACCGCCAAATTTATTATTACTACTAGCGACCCGCCCTCGCGTCGCTTCGGAAACTTTAATTTATTATTATATATCTCCACTATTTAATGGATGTTATTATGCATATAAACCTTCCTCTTCAGTCACTCTATCTATTAAAAAAACCGCATCAAAATCCGTTGCGTAGTTTTAAAGATCTAAGCATACATAGGGATATAGGGACAGAGAAAGCGACTTTGTTTTATACTATGTAGTGATTTCCCCGACTACCAAAAGAGTTGTTTGTTGTCTTTCTAGCGCGTTTCAGGCTCTAGAATCTAAAAGTTTTGACGAATTTCAAGATATGAGGTGTCATTAGGTTTTTCATGAATGAAGGCTTTTTAAATTTGAAGTTTTCTTTTATTGTCTTTGTAGGCAGACGAGCTTGCTGTACACCTGATAATGAGAGGTTACCGTGATGGACGCCAGTAATGCCAGGGGCTCCGTTTAGTCGCTATTTACCGCCGTGTAGTCTCCGTAAATAGGTTTACTAACTAAACTAGGGTTTGAAGACGGACATATCATAGCGCTCGGGAAACACCGTAGAGGGTACTTCATTTGAGATTTTATTTATTTATTGCATGTCCCGACGTCTTAATAAATAAAATGTCCGGTGTAGGCCAATAGCAATAGCAATAGCATTACCACCTTACATTGATTCAGGTGCAAAGTGTTCATGCGATCCGGCTTGGAGAGTAGGAGTCCTTTTACTGGTGTAAATGGAGACATAAATCTCTGATGGGCTTTTGTTTTGAGAGCTTCGGCATCACCTCAATACCAGATAGGCTATGAGAACGTCTGTCTATCGTAGCTTAAAAAGTTAAAAAGCTAATAAAGTAGCTTAAATTTATTTACACCGTTATAGGTGGAGTTTACGAATTTATTACTCACTAGCGGCCCGCTTCCGCTCCGGCTCCGCTCGGGATTTTAACAAAAATTTCAACGATATTTGACGTTGTTTTATTTTTTTAATTAATATAAGCCTAATAATAAGCCTAACAAACAAACAAACAAATCTTTCCTCTTTATAATATTAGTATAGGTAGTATAGATTCGACTGCCACAACAGTTCATAAAACATAAATAGGTATAAATGGGAATTACTTATTTTATAGCTTAATCTGATATTAAGTGATTACCGGAAGATATAGACATTAAACATATTATAATGAAAATGCCGCCACCCGCTTTGAGACTTGAAGTTTATGTCCCAATTGAATACAATAAGTAATACTAAGAAGTAATAACGCAAATTATTTGCGATTTTTTTTTGTGAGTTTGATTTTTATTGCACGTTATTAATCCTTCATCATCGAAATCATTCGTGTATATTTGATAAATACGTATTTTATTACAAAATTGGTGGCGGTCTGCGGGATTTGAACATCGGCCCATCGCATCGCTCGATATAAGTTCGCCGGGCGTTTTATCCTTTTTTTCTTCTACCTATGCTGATAGCCTTGAGAGGCTATTTCAGCTTTGCCCTAACGTGTAGGTGAGATCACGGGGCTCAAACCGGAGTGTTGTCAACACTGGCCCTAGCAAGAGCAGTGCTTCGCAAAATCTACCACCGTTTCGGAAACGCGACCCACTGAGAAGATTCGGCGAGAAACTCAGCGGGCTGTCTCTGTGGGTATTTTTCCTTTATCCCACAACGACTTTTTATAAGATTTGTTTGTTTCCAGGCCTGCGAGCCACCAGCTGCTCTGAGCGAGCACAGTCATTACATATGCAACGACAAAGGCGAACCCAAGTGCATGCCGGGATGGCAGGGGGACCTCTGCGATGTGCCCATATGCAGGAAGGGATGCGATCCTATTAGAGGTCTGTTAGATATGTCTTTCAATCACTATATAAGTAAGACGATTCTTAACACCAACTCTTAATGTTTTGTTAACTTACTTGAAATGAGGAGGAGATTGTCAATTCGAACGTTTTTATGTGTGTTACGCTCATAACAATCATAACTTTAGATAGATGAACCTTATTTAATGATTTTTTTTTCTTATCACTTTAACCCTACGCTTTTTTACAATAAATTTATTTCCTATTTTTAGTGGGATTCTATATCAAAGCGTGTTTTTTAGAGCTTTAAACTTTTTTTTTAACATAATAGATTTGATTTCGGGAAACAGATTGAATAAAATGACAACTGATTTGACAGATGTAGTTTCAACAAAATGGCCGTTATCGATTGTCAAAGTTCGTAAGTCTTTGATAAAATATTTCAGAAGATGCAATTTTTAAAACGGAAAGAGACCTATTTTTTTTGTACGCGATATTACGAGCTGGTACTGCTAAATAAAATAACCGGGTCATCCGTGACGCTTTGTGACTAATCATTTAACAGTTGTACCAAAGAAACAAAACGAAGCCTTTTATTTGCGAAACTTTCATATAGAAAGTACTGTTAGGTCGAACGAGAGCTTTTGAAAGCCTGTATACGCTTGTAAATGGTATATTAAAATGTTAGGATGCCTAGTGGGTCTCATATGTGGGATTGGTTAACGAAAATGAATTAACTTTCGCATTGTTCGTCCATAATTTTTATATGAATACCTTATATATAAAGAGTCGAGGTTCTTACTGAGTGGTCAGATAAAAATATTAAGCGCCACTTACAATCAAGTAATACAAAAGATTTTCAAACTGCCTAATCGTGCACAAACAGTACTACAACCATTGTTTATGACCTGATTTTGAATATTTATGTCCACTAATTTTCTAAATTAATTCACACGATTGAGTTATTAATTCAATGGGCCTTGCGAACTCTGTTTTTATTTACAGAAAATAAAAATAGCAATATTAGTTTGTATGTTGCTTAAACTAAACGCATCAATGTCGATAGTTATTCCATTAAAATCAATTGCAATTAATGAATGAAGCCGACATTAACACCTTTGTCAATTAATCGACGCACGAAAGAAATCATGAGGCATATGATACTTGTTTATATTTGTTATAATTTTGGAGGCGTTAGGCGATTGTTATTTCTGACTTATATATATTATTTATAGTAATATATTAAGATTACCTCTTCGGCATTCTCTGTTAATTATTCAAATTAAAATCCAGCGTTTTATCTCGAAACATGAAGCAAAAGTCTGGGCTATGATATTCCCCTAACTTAAGCTCCTCTTGCAGGATTTTGCAAGAAACCAGGAGAGTGTACGTGCAAGTTCGGATACTACGGAGACAGATGCGAGAAGTGTATCCCGCTGCTGGGCTGCGTCCACGGCCGCTGCAACGAACCGTTTCAATGTATCTGTAACGACGGCTGGGACGGCCTATTTTGTACCGAGCGTAAGTAGTTGGCCTATTTTGTACCGAACGTAAGTAGTTGGCCTATTTTGTACCGAACATNGAAACCAGGGGAGTGTACGTGCAAGTTCGGATACTACGGAGACAGATGCGAGAAGTGTATCCCGCTGCTGGGCTGCGTCCACGGCCGCTGCAACGAACCGTTTCAATGTATCTGTAACGACGGCTGGGACGGCCTATTTTGTACCGAGCGTAAGTAGTTGGCCTATTTTGTACCGAACGTAAGTAGTTGGCCTATTTTGTACCGAACATGAGTAATTGGCCTATTTTGTACCGAATGTGAGTAGTTCGCCTATTTTGTACCGAACATGAGTAATTGGCCTATTTTGTACCGAACGTAAGTAGTTGGCCATATTTTGTACCGAATGTGAGTAGTTTGTCTATTTTGTACCGAATGTGAGTAGTTGGCCTATTTTGTACCGAATGTGAGTAGTTTGTCTATTTTGTACCGAACGTGAGTAGTTGGTCTATTTTGTACCGAACGGAAGTAGTTGGCCTATTTTGTACCGAATGTGAATAGTTGGCCTGTCATAAAACTGGTAAGCGTAATTCCTTCAATCGAACTTCAATTAAGGTCATAATAACGGTATTTTAGCCGTCTAAATCATGACTGACTGGCCTTAATGTTTCAGAAGATTGTTTGACGAATATTATACTTTAGGAGAACACTCATGTACCGCATTGCGTATAATACACTGTTTAGTTTGTATTCGAATAATACTGAGGTCGTTATCGTGTTGAAAGTAGAGCTTAACGCTTTTTTAAAAGTTCTCGAACAATCCAGAAAGTACTTATAAACGTATTAAGAGTCACTTTCGCGGCATTGTCTTGTTTAAATATGTGAAACCAGGTCAAGTTTTGTAGTGATTAACGCTAATTGTAAGAAAAACTTCGGTTTTTCTAAATCATTTGCACGTCACTTATCGTGCATTGATGTAAGTATAACAGAAACTTTCCATGGACTGACAATAACTGTATCATATTTCATTACAATTGATTTAATGCCTTAGCACAAACCTGTAAATAAATATTTATCTATACTAATATTATAAAGCTGAAGAGTTTGTTTGGTTGAACGCGCTAATCTCAGGAACCACTGGTCCGATTTGAAAAATTCTTTCAGTGTTAGATAGCCAGTTATTGTGGAAGGACTATATAGATAGCATCACGCTAAGACCAATACGAGCGAAGCACTAATAAAAAAATTTCAAAATTGTTTTTTTTTCCTTTTGAGAGCTTCTGCTGCGTGCGCAGCGGAAACGGTCAAGGTTTCGCTAAAATAATGTATGACAGAATTGTTCCCATTTAAAAGTTCTAAAAAAAAGTTCAGGACAGCACATGGCTATAGTTTAAGGTTGGCTCACTATGACTATTGACAAAAAATAGTGGTTGAATTGATACCCTCTTTTGTCGTTTAATAAGCGTGATTTTTGGTACCTTGAATAGCCTTACATTCTATTATTCAAAATTCCTTAACATTCTATTATTCAAAATTCCTTAACATTCTATTATTCAAAAATCTTTTCACTTTCTGCGTAAATGAAGTTGCGAGTAAAAGTTAGCGTTATCCTAAAATAACTATTCTACGCGGACGAAGTCGCAGGCAAAAGCTAGTTTAATTTATATAGGAGAATATCCAATAGTTCATATAGAAACTACACAGTTTGTATTCGGTGTCTACAAAATATTTAAAGTTGATCAGTGTTTAAACGATATATAAATATAAAGGATATGCTGATGGTCCAGCAATAAATATTTGTGCTTACTGGCGACCGATGCTTATACTAGATAGCGGTGGGTAGTCATTCGTGCGTATGCCTGGCATTATACTTATGTCTCAACCATTGAGTTTCTTGCCGGATCTTCTCAGTGGGTCGCGATTCCGATCTGCTGGTAGATTAATCGAAGCACTGCTCTTGCTAGGGCTAGTGTTAGCAATTCTCTCAGATTTCGGTCCGTGAGTAGTTGTAAAAGCCTCTTAGGTTACTAACGGTTCCTATTACTACTACTGCGCTGACGCTTGACTCCGAAATGGGTCTTGGCCTACGACATTCATCCCTGCAAACGTCGCCATTTATCCTAGAAAATACTAGATATACTTTGGTTTATTATCAAATAATAAGTTACAATGTGATTTTTTTTTATTGCTTAGATGGGTGGACGAGCTCACAACCCAACTGGTGTTAAGTGTTTACTGGAGCCCATAGACATCCACAACGTAAATGCGCCACCCACCTTGAGAAATAAGTTTTAAGGTCTCAAGTCTCATCTCAAGTATAGAATTGCAATATCCTTATTGGTTTTTTTAATTATTATAAATTTAGTTTTATATTCCATTAGATTTAAGCTTAAACCTGTTTTTTTAACGTTACGTTACGTATTACAGCTACATGCAGCACGGAATGTCACAAGATCCGCGGCTTCTGCGAGTCCCCGGGCGAGTGTCGCTGCCGGTTCGGTTGGTCCGGGCCGACATGTCACGCCTGTCAAACTTTACCCGGATGCCAGCACGGTTATTGTGAGAAGCCATTAGAGTGCAGATGTCTGCCCGGTTATACGGGAATGCTGTGTCAGACGCGTAAGTAAAGCTAGCTAATCTATATATTATTAATACGTGAAGGAGAAACTTTGTATCCCTTTTTACAAAAATGGCGCGGACGGAGTAGTATGAAATTTCTCACACTTATAGAGAATATAGTGAAGGAGTGCAGAATGCTCATAATTTTTTTATTATGCGTTAAAAATTCATTAAATCAATAAAGAAAACGTTACACACATTACTATGTATTTGACACAACGCATTTACACATACATATACTCTGTATTTATTGTCAAACTTTTGTTATATTGAAAGTAGTGGTCAAATTGAGAATAGATTAATAAGTACATACTGTTTGTCTTTAATATTATTTGTCTATAGTGTAGTCTTGGCGAAATTTGTGATTTTAGAAATATAATAATAGTCTATGACAATAGAGTCATAATAGTGTACAAACTTATAATTTCAAATAATTATAGTCGAATTTCGAATACCGGGGGACCACTAGTTAGAGATTAATAATCCATTAGAAATCATGGAGGCTGCGATCGTAATTGATTTAAAATTTGGCTAAATAAATTCCAAACGCGAAGTAGCTTGAAAAGTGAGTTCCACCTATAAAGTAATGAGGCGAATATGTTGTCACTACCAAATTTAGAACGTCAGTAATACAGTGCGTAACATGGTAACCTACCGAATTAAGGTAAACAAATTAATTAAAAAGAACGAACTAATATAGTAGTTATTTTTTTACCGCAGTGAAAACTTAAGTATGACAAAATTTTAATTGTTTTACGAAGCTTATATTCGATATAGAGCCTCTCGATTTCGTAAGCTCCGCGCATTCGCTGATCTAGGATTGATGTTGATGTGAGATTGGAGGTAAATGCAAAATACAAAATTTTCTTGCCACAATTAAATGTTACAATTTTTAAAGGTTTTTTTTATTAAATTAAATAAAATCGATTCGGTTGATCGATCGAATCGAATTAAATCATTCGATTTATACTTCAATATCATTGGTTAGTAGCGGAAAATAGTGCGGAATATAAATCATTACTGGGACGGACTTTACATGTATAATTAGTTTCCAAACGATTCTTTTCCACATGATAGTTGTCTGGAAGAGATCGCTCTTAGCGATAAGACCGTTAATTGTACTTTTTTTGTATTCAATGTTTCGCATTGTTTCTTTTGTTAGTGCACTATAAAGAATACTTTCTCCCTCTCTCTCAGTCTCTCTCTAATGCCATTATGTGTTTGTGCAGCAATTTGTGCAGCGAACTGTCACAGCGAGAGGGGCTTCTGTCGGCGTCCCGGGGAATGCCGCTGCAAGGTCGGCTGGACCGGGCCCACGTGCGCGCAGTGCCACAGGTACCCTGGCTGCAAGCACGGAACTTGCAGGAAGCCTTGGGAGTGTATCTGCAAAAAGGGCTGGGGAGGAATGCTGTGTGACGAAGGTGAGTTTTAACACTTAATTTGATTTCTGGCTTAACAAATGGGGACACGTCCACCCGCTGGTGAGTAATCAAGGACTTTCATGGATGTCATGGAAAAATTGCTATTATAGTGGTACTCACTCAGGAATCCTTGACTCACTCTAACACTAGGAGTAGAGACCTTGGTAACCGTATTCGTCGAACAAAGAGGTCAACATGCAACCTAACCTAAACATCAACCCGCTGAGTTTCTCGCCGGATCTTCTCAGCGGCTCTCGATTCCGATCCGGTAGTAGATTCATTCGCGAAGCAGTTGCTCTTGAGTAGTTAGGTTTCCTTTAGAGGCGCTCGGGTAGCTGTTAGCAAATCTAGCACCTTCTGGTTGAACCCTTGCTCGCCCTTCTGTCCTTTTGAAACTGGAAAGGCCTCCGGGCCACCAGTAAACCCTCAATCATTAAAAAAAAGAATCGAATCCGAAATGTTCTCATTAGGAGCACGCATGGCACTAACACACCAGGGGCGCGTTAATTAGATTTACATGAACTTAACATGGCTTGTATCCACGGGTGCATTCCTATAGCAAGTCTTCGCCTTACACGGTGTACGTGAAGGCTCCACGCCCATCGCGTACGTGACTGCGTTTTTTAGAACGTTCGCACGATGCATTTTGCCTAATACAGATCGTGCATAAATATTCGGTGAACGTTTGTTCATGTTTTGGGGAAAAAAAATCCAGGATATTTGCTGGTTGCATTTTTTTTAGTTAATCGTCAGCGAAAGCCAGCAATGTTAGTTAGCATATCGACGCTTGAAAGGCAAACGTGACTAAGCGACAATAACTGCTCTGTACATAAATGATAGGCAATAACCATATTCGATGCGCAAAAAAAATATATTTCTAGGTCTATTAAAATCATTTCAATCCTACAGCTAGATTCGTTAAAATATATTTTTTTAGGTATTTCAATTTTAAATTAGTCTACTGTAGGGTTCACGCATTATCGCATAGTCACGTTTGCCTTTCAAGCGTCGATATGTTGAATTACGCAACTTACATTGCCAATGCTAGGAGAATAGAATAGAATAATTAATAGAATAGATGTGCTAGAAGCTCGTTTTAAGAGAGCTTTCTTTTTTTGGAAACGGAATAAATAGGCCCCCGGTTAGGCGGGTTCTAGTACCACTTTTTGCCTATTTCTGCCGCGAAACAGACTTGTGTCCGGTCTGAAGGATGGAATGGTCTTACTATGTAACTGAGACTTCAATCTCGTGTTTCAAAGTAAATGACGACATTCAGCCTGTGACGTCTATTATTATTATTATTTTTTTATTGCCTTTGTAGGCAGACGAGCATACGGCCCACCTGATGGTAAGTGGTCACCGTCGCTCATGGACGTCAGCAATGCCAGGGGCAGAGCCAAGCCGCTGCCTACCATAAAGCTCCATATTAGTTCCACCATATTAGCTCCGGTAACCACTTAACACCAAGTGGACCGTGACTTCATTTACCTATAAGATTTGGACAATGAAAACAAACTGTCTATGAGCTCTTTGAAGCTAAGCAGTTCAACTCAAAATTCTATAAAAAAATATATTTCCAGAACTAAATTACTGTGAAGAGCATCCTGACACGTGCAAAAACGGTGGCCAATGTCAATCGTTGGAAGCACAGGACGGACATTATAGATGCCAGTGTCCTTCCGGAGTCACCGGCAAGCATTGTGACGTCATACCAGCTAATATGACCACGACCGAGGCTAGCACCGTCCAAGAATTCACCGTGGAAGTGATCACAGACGATGGATCCTCAGAGAATACATCCGACAAGACTACAACAGTCGCTGAGCCCAATATCGACGAGAACGAGACTGAATAAATATATAACAGCCTTATTTTAATCTTAATATTTAGATTTATGTATTTAAATTATTTATCTCACATCATTTCTCTCACATCTCACAGCATCATTCACATCACATCAATCACATTAAACTTTTTGATTTACCGTTAATCCATTGCAGCTGTTTTTACGTATCCACGAATGATGCACGATTTCATTACTTCGCTTACGATCATTATGGATTTATCGATGAGCGTAACTAATCTCTGCACTCTGCTGATTATAAGCTCATATAATGTAGTGGGGTTACAAGCATTGTACATTTTTATAAATAAACATGTGTGCAATTCACACGTGGTAGAAGTGAAACCTTCCAAAATTAAAATACAATTATCCTAAACGTCTTAAGTATATGTAAAATTTTGTCATTAGTAAATAATTGTAAGGTAGCGCCCTCTGTGAATTGATATTTTAATTTCACGTATAATCCTAAATTAAAATTCACTACAAGAGCTTTCATACACACGTTAGTNTGTGAATTGATATTTTAATTTCACGTATAATCCTAAATTAAAATTCACTACAAGAGCTTTCATACACACGTTAGTATTAAAAAATCTCACAAATGGCGCTGTATTAAATAGTATGTATATTTCTGTCTCATTCTTTGCTGGCTTCATCCTACACATTTTTGTATTTGTGTCTCTTACCTGTCGTTTTTTCCGTTGCATCCGGTTTGAAGTCACAACGATTCTAAAGAAGTTTTCACTTCAAAAATTGCCTCATTTTCAAGTATCAATGTTAAATTGAATTCCTATGTAATCGAATTCACCATGTTATCATTTCTCGATTTCATACGTATTTTATTCATAGTACTAAATATATTTTCATCTGATCATTTCACATTTTGATTCAGTTAAATATTTGTTCATTCAACAACCATTTCATTTTCTCGAGATTTGAAAACGCCGTCTATAAATTGGCCGATTAGATAATTAGAAATGTTGAAGGACTGCAAAGAAAACAAGAAACAATCTGTTAGAAGTTTTAAAACACTCATTTACTTCTACATCTAGATTTTTGCGGGGGGGCAATGATCCCACGCTGACGGTATACAGTCTGGCTGACGTATGACCGCTAATTATTAATTATTTTGATATTGTAAACTTATTGCAGTTTTAAATGTTACATAATTCCCATAAACATTTTTTGGTCTTTTCAAAACTTAATTTTCCTTACATAGTTCATAAATTCATACTTTTTTATTTATTTCAATTATTTATTCAAAGATTTCAATAATCATCGCTTTTAATCCAACAACTTTATATTTTATTCTTTAAAACAAAAATAATTTTCATTGAAAATTCAAAGTTAATGACTCATTTTTCATAAACGGTGGATTCACTATATTTTCATATTTTCAGTCCTATTCATCACATTCATAGCTGTTACATAATTAATAAGTTAAAATGTCATTAAATGAAATGCTAAAAAGGCTTAAATCATTCTCATATAATGAAAAGCCCATATTTTACCGCATCACGTTTATAATTCATTTCATTAATCATTATCACTTATTACTGATATTACCATTGCTTAATAGCAATGAATTTCGAAGCAGGAATTTTTTTATCAGCCGTCACACGTATTTTCATCATATTGCCTATTTATTATATTCAAACTCTTTAATATCATGTTAATTCACTTATCATCTCATAATAGTTCTGTATAATTTATAGTTTTAAAAAATCCATGTATTTATTACATTTCAAGTATTACTAATATAAAAATCATATGATGGATTCCGTATCAAAAGTTAATTTTTCTTAATCATCAAATTATTTATTTATATGATTATATAAGATTGTTGATTATTTTTGGTTCATAACAATGTATATCTAATATAGTTTTTAATTAGACAAAGTTAACTTTACACACAATTGCCTTTGACCATTCCCAATACATTAGTATAATATTCCATAGTGTTCGTCAACACAATTCATTAATTTATCACGTCATATCTATCTGTATTGATCTCCTTAAAAGTTTAAATGCGTAAATAGTTGAGGAAATTGTTTCATAAGTCATTCATCATTTCTTTTGGTATATTGTATAATTTACAATAGTTTTCTAAAATCATTTCATTCATTGTGTATAAGTTGCTTAATATAGGAATCATTATCATATCAGTAACAATTCATTTCGTTAGGTCTAGAAAATGTTCATTGCATTTACTTTTTTATTTAAACTTTCAATCAATATTTTCATTTATTTAGCAGTATCATTCGTCATTGCAAATACAGGTTTTGTCATTTCGTTCGAATGTTCTCGTTTCCATAGAAATCCGGTACTAAAATTATATCGATTTTTGTTCTAATGTAATTATTTTATTGATTCATTTCATTACTGTACTTACTTGTTACTGTACTTGAGACCTTAGAACTTGTATCTCAGGGTGGGTGGCGCATTTACGTTGTGGATGTCTATGGGCTCCAGTAACCACTTAACACCTGGTGAGCTGTGAGCTCGTCCACCCATCAAAGCAATAAAAAAAAAATTACTTGTTACAGCAATCACCGTCACATCATCAACACAACATTATAAAACTATTCATTTAAAATTTTATCATCTCCATCCAAACTTAGTCATACTATTAATTTTCATACGCTTAACAAATACAGCATCTACCCCATTACTCTCACCTTACTTCATTGATAGAGATCTTGTAACATTTAATTTTAATATTTATTTCATTATTGTAATTAGTTTTATATCACACACATGATTAGACTGAGAGTGTTTATTCAAATTGAATTTATTAAAAGTATGAATGTAAATTATTAAGTATGTTTAGCTGTACGTATGTATTAATCATTATATTCAGGTAAGACCACCAACAAGTGTTGAAAACTATGTAAAAACTTTTTTCACTTTAACCTTTATATATCTCATTTGTTAAGTTGTGAATGTATAAAGCTCATTATTGATGTGTAAGTAAATAAATATATGTAAAATGTGATAATTTTTTTTACAAATATCTTGTATCGTATCCTTTCTGAAGCTTTGCTTATGGTAGTAGCTTGATTATCTACGGGTTCAAATAGCCCACTGAGTTTCTCGCCGGATCTTCTCAGTAGGTCGCGTTTCCGATCCGGTGGTAGATTCTGTGAAACACTACTCTTGTTAGGGCTAGTGTTAGCCACGTCGTCAGGCTTGAGCCCCGTGAGCTCACCTACTAGCCCGGAGAATCTAATATAAGCCCTGGAGGTTACTAGAATAGGTAAGGAAAAAAAAGACCAAGTTAGTGGTTCTTACATTTATAACTGTAAATGGAATGATTAACTTAGAGTAATCCTGATGTGCCTGATGTGCTAGGGTTCGTGTTAGGAAAACCGTCAGGCTTGAGCCCCGTGAGCTCACCTACTAGTTAAGGTTACGCTAAAATAGCCTCTCAAGACTATCTTAGGTAGAAAAAAAATGGTTCAAATTGATTTCATTGTTTTACGGCCTCCTCTTCCACATCGCATCATTTCCTCACTGCTGAGGGTCGTGACCACCATGTTTAGACAGTATTTTATTTTTTGTTATATCTTTTAACATTTCCGATCATTAGCCGCGTGAGAGCTTCGTGGAATGGGGTTTCTAGTGTGGTGCGGATTTGATCTAGGCTATCAGGTATTTTTCGAGCAATATGACCGTAGTTAATGGAACGGATACGAAAACTAAAAGGCGAGTTCAGTGTCATGGTAAACTGTTCTTAAACAAACGCCATAGAAACGTTTTTAAGTCGTCGTGGCCTAAAGGATAAGATGTCCGGTGCATACGTCTTGAGCTATGCACCGGTGTTCGAATAACATCGTATAATAAAAATCAAACCCCAAAATTATAATTTGCGTAATTACTGGTGGTAGGAGCTCTTGTGAGTCCGCACGGGTATGTACCTGCCCACGCTACCTATTTCTGCCGTGAAGCAGTAATGTGTTTCGGTTTGAAGGGTGGGGCAGTCGTTGTAACTATACTTGAGACCTTAGAACTTATATCTCAAGGTGGGTGGCGCATTTATGGTGGAGCCCATATACATCTACAACGTAAATGACTAATAATAGGAAATGACTCCATAGAGCGCCTTGTCGTTCAGGGCAAGGTAGAAGGCACCAGACCGCGTGGAAGGGTGCCCATGCGATGGACCGACCAGATCAAGTCGCTAGTTGGCGGCTGTTTGCAGGAGTGCACCAGGCTCACCACAAACCGGGAGGAGTGGCGAATGCTCGTGAGGCGCATAACATCTGCCCACAACAATGATGCTGGATGACGACCACGACCTCTCTGACAAGAGTGATACGACATACGAGATACGAGATGGGCTCCAGTAACCACTTAACACTAGGTGGGCTGTGAGCTCGTCCACCCATCGATGAAATAAAAAATAAAAATATAAAAATTGGAATAGCAATATCCGATTAACGTATAAGGACACTTTGGCTTTCATATATCTTCATGAGGCATTGAGGTTGTGAGGTCTCTGGGATGCGGTAATACGAGGTCAACTAGCATGGTCGTTGTTTATAACGCCCCACTGTTTTACACTGCTTAACTTAGGCCTCTTCTATTTTACGCCAATGTTTCTTGGTCTCTTCATTAATACCTTATTATTATTATTATTTATTTTGATTGCTTAGATGGATGGACGAGCTCACAGCCCACCTGGTGTTAAGTGGTTACTGGAGCCCATAGACATCTACAACGTAAATGCGTCACCCACCTCGAGATATAAGTTCTAAGATCTCAGGTATAGTTACAACGGCTACCGCACCCTTCGAACCGAAACGCATTACTGCTTCACGGCGGAAATAGGTAGGGCGGTGGTACCTACCCGCGCGGACTAAAGAGGTCCTACCACCAGTGATTACGCAAATTATAATTTTGCGGGTTTGATTTTTATTACACGATGTTATTCCTTCACCGTGGAAGTCAATCGTGAACATTTGTTGAGTACGTATTTCATTAGAAAAATTGGTACCCACCTGCGGGATTCTAACACCGGTGCAACGCTTCAACACGAATGCACCGGACGTCTTATCCGTTAGGCCACAACGACTTCAAGATTACCCATCTATTATTGATATTAATGATTTAATTTTATTTTATTCATGAAGCCCATTATGAAAATCGTGATAAATTAACAAATTTATGTAAGCCCGGTGCCCATAGACATCTACAACGTCAATGCTGCCACTCTGAGATATGAGTCCTAAGGTCTCAGTATAGTTACAATAATCATATGATTTTTCAGTGGAAGGTTTTCCTTAACATTTATTAGGTAGGTTTTAAATAAGATAAATTAGTATTTACTAGGGGACGCGAACTGTGTATAGTCATATCACTAAATGTCGTATCACAAGTACACCTTTATTTGTCCTACTTAGGCCCGGATGTTAAAAATACACATTAGATATCAAATTTACAGAAATCCCTATTAAATACCTAACAATTTTATTATGTGCTCACAATTAAAAAGACCACAGTCACGGCAATACCAGAATGAATACTTCATACATGATAAATTTCATAAGAATTCATATAAAAATTCCAATAAATTAATTCGTAAGCCCTAAGAACTTAATTTATGAAAATAGTGAACTTAAACTATCATTTTAGGTAGCCGTGTAGTTTCTTAAGAAGGAAGCCTTATGCCTAATACGCAAAGGAAATATAAGTAAAAACAGTCTGGTTAATTTCAAGCCAAACTGGATCTCGCCTACCTAGGTTTGAATTAGTGTTATGTCGGCAATTTAGTTCGAGTGACAAACATTAAGAACTATGTTTGGAATCTTGGAGCATATTTTTTGTTATAACAATTTGATCAATGATAAACATATTATAAAGCTATTTTAAGACTGACTCGGTGGCGCAGTAGATAGTGTCCCTGACTGTTGCGCTAAGGGTCGCGGGTCTGACTATCAGTGGCGGGCTGACCTTCGTGCCCGGGGTGTGGCGCGTCCCAGCCCCAATGTGGTCAGAGCGCGGAGGGCCCAATCTCGGAGGTCCGTGCTGGAGTCATGGTCCAGACGGCAGCAGAAGGATCATCTGCTGGTCGTAGGACCGTCGAGGCGATTCGCCCGGTCCTTGTGAATTGGGTGAATCGTGACAGAGGACGCCTCACTTTCCGGCTCACGCAGGTGCTCACTGGGCATGGTTGTTTCGGTGAGTTCCTGCACCAGATCACAGCCGAGCCGACTACCGTCGCGACGGTAGAGTGTCACCATTGTGGTTGCGACTTGGACACGGCAGAGCATACGCTCGTCGCCTGCCCCGCATAGGAAGGGTGGCGCCGTGTCCTTGTCGCAAAAATAGGAAACGACTTGTCGTTGCCAAGTGTTGTGGCATCGATGCTCGGCGACGACGAGTTGTGGAAGGCGATGCTCGACTTCTGCGAGTGCACCATCTTGCAGAAGGAGGCGGCGGGGCGCGTGAGAGACGCACAATCCCGCCGCCGTCGAGCGGGGGCCAGGGAGGCGGATCTCGCCCAAGCCCTGGCCCTCTAAGGGGGACCCCCCTCACATGTTGGTCTGGGGACCGGCAAGGGGTCTTAAGAAGACGACGTGCAAGTTGCTCTGCACGCGTTTTATGCAAGAGCAAACGGGTGATGGAAGGCCGGCTATCCTCGACCCACGCTGGTTCTGGTCCAACGGGGTATTTCGTAGGATAGCTCACTCTAACCCGCGTCATCTAGGCGGGCTTCGGATAGCCTGCCGACCGAGAGGGCTAGTGGTCGTGGCGCCGACTCTGACATGCCCCGCCCTCCATCCCCGGTGGAGGGCGGAAGTCCGGCGATTTCCTCCTGACCCAAAAAAACATCGGGCAAAAAAGCAAAAGCTCAAAGCAAACCAATTTTAATAAAATCTCAGGTAAAACTTTCTATTTAGATAAATTTGAAAAAACTTTTTTTGTTTTGTCACGAAATTTTTTTGTCGAAATTTTTGCCTAACTCATACACACCCTAGCTACAGCCGAAAGATTATAAAATACCGTTCATTACGGAATTCATGTGCAAATAGATTAATTTATAACCTAATACGTTCAAAGTCCTTAAATGTTGCGTGCATCGATACAGTTTACCAGCCATCGGACGAATTAAGAGTCTAAGTGCGTTTTGAATATTCTTTAACATGGAGTAAAATTACCTTTTTCGACAAAAAACTAGATACTTTTAGACTTTGTTAACGAGAACATAAAAATATTTTTATTGTTGAAATGTCTTAATTCTGTAACTCATTATCACTGGGATTTGGGAAAATAAAAAGGTTTACCTTCGTTCCTTAAAATGTTGCTAAAACCATATTTTTTTTATTACAATAACGACTAGCATGCCTCTTTTTACAATTTAAAGATGCGAATTTGTACCTTTAAGCCAACCTTCATTTACATACCTTGTGGTTCTAAATACAAAATATGTAATGGAATGAAATTAAATGAAATGAATTTAAGGTAAGTGAGATGGAATGTAATGGACTTCTCATAAAATGTCGGGTATAACCTAAGCTGAAATTGCCTTTTTGGCAGCACACTCATTGCTGCGGTTAATAAGCCACAAATAAAAGAATGCATAATAATATAATTTCATTCGCGTTCCCGCCAAAAATCTGGAATAAGACGCTAATAATAATGATTGATTTTTTTCTTTTCTTCTTTATATTTGAAATATGTATGTAACTTACTATGTGCATGGAATAAAATGCGTATTATTATTAATATTTAATAATGATTGATTAGTGGCGAGAATGTTACATGATGTAGCTCCGTACCGATTATGATCTAACTATGCACGAATAATCGATACAAAAACGTCTCGATTTCATTAAAATCGTTTCGGTTGCTGAATATCGAGCAGGATTACTCGTGTATCTATATAAGCCGAGAGCTCGAGTCTCGGTAACATATCGAATTAAAACGATCAATTCACCGGTCGTATGTAATTAGTAATGTGATATAGTGATCTCGGATTTTAACATAAAAATGACTCCGATCTACGTTTTGATGGTGAGATTTTTATTATGAATACTTTATTGACATCTGTTCATTCGAATAGTTTTTTGGTTTTAAAATCGATATTTTTTGTATAAATTTTTTTTTCTTATATTGCACCTTCGTTTGCTTCTTTCTTTTGTAACATTTTAGATAAATACAATAATCACAATTGTTCATTGACTTATCAATAAATAAATAAAAATGTATCCGCGCTAAGAATCCCAACTCCGAACAGCCCAAACATCTTTGATACGAATACAGACCACGACTAGGAATCAAATTGAATCGACAATACTATTAATGAAGTGTAAATAACGAAATTAAAAGTTTAATAATAATAATAATCATCATCATAATTATCCTGCCCTTCTCCCAGTTACCTGGGGTCGGCGCAACATGTTTTCTCCTTCCATACTCTTCTATCATATACCATTTCTTCGCTCACTCTCCTCTTACCCATATCGTCTTTCACGCAATCAATCCATTTCTTCTTAGGTCTACCTCTTCCTCTACACGAGGAACATGAGAAGGAATAAAAAGTTTAATAATCTCGCCAGGAAATAAAAAAAACAAAGTAATGCAATTGAGTAAACGTAACCCGTCATGTTGAATAACATCACACAATACATGCCTGTAATTATAGTACACATAATCAAATAATTAATTACCGGAAATAATTAATTACAAATTTTTTGCTTGCTGCATTTCTTGCGGGATTTATTCGTGCATCGTTTGAAGGACAGAGAGAACTTTTATTGAAATGTATTGCTGTTATTTGGAGTAGATGAAACTCCGACCTCAGATCCCAAGGCGGACGTGCGTGTTTAATATCGGCTGAGCTCTGAAATTTGCCAAGTTACGTACTGTAAAACACTATAGCATCTTATTCGGTTTTCCTGAGCAATGAACACAATCATAACCATTTCAACTTTAATTTTATTATAATATTTTCGTTTATTTATTCTAAAGCTCGGAAATAAAAAAAGGAAAATAATTGCAATCATAGATTTTTTTAAATTAATTTATACTCATTTTGTTAACTTAATGATAGCCAGACGAGCTTATGGTCCGTTTATTATTATGCTATCTCTGGAACCCACTGACGTCACAGCTTGACTGCCGTCACCCACCTCTTAACATACAGCCAAAGTCTCCATCAACACAGTGAGCCGTCGGAGCACCATGGTTCCTAAGGAAAGTAGATGTGAGTCGCGTTTCCGATCCGGTGGTAGATTCTGCGAAGCACTGCTCTTGCTAGGGCCAGTGTTAGCAATGCTTCCGGTTTGAGCCCGGTGAGCTCACCTACACGTTAGGGTGAAGCTGAAATAGCCTTCCAAGGCTATCAGCATAGGTAGGGAAAAAAAACCGCAGTGTGCTTAAGTGGGGTTTTACACTTCTCGATCGCGTTAAAGTTAACTCCAATTTGTATGGTATTGCGGCCAACGTACCCAGTCGTATTTAAACGAGTTGCTTCTCTACGTTACTATCTCGTAATCTAACTGTTTTGTATCAGTCAGGTCTCAAAATGGTAGTTTTTTCCCACGGAGGCCTGAAATATCTCCTACAAACTGACTACAAGTCGAGTTTGAAATATATTGTCCACCCATTTAAGCAATAAAAAAAAGGAAGATAATCTCTGTTTTGTCTAGAGACGGAATCCGTAAGTTTCGTTTTAAAATCTGCCTATGTGAATCAAAGTGATAATCTATTGGAGTAATATAATTTATTATGTAGCGTATTTTATATAACCAGACTCAATTCAAAATAAAAGTTTTTGGCTACGAAAGAACTCTGATTTGGTTTCATATACTATATTTATGTTGCCTTTATTAATTTTTATTACTGTTTAAATTACATACCACAGTACAGTCGTAGACATGGAAGGATGGTGCTTTAGAGCAATTAAAATAAATCATAAGACTATTGCAAATATTTCAAATCAATAAGTAATGCTTAGGGTTTGACTGTTGAATTTATAAGAGTGTTTTTGTAGATCTTACGATACTTGTAATATTACTATCGTACTATTAATAACAAAATCGACTTTTTTCAATAGATTTTTCAGCTTTACTGGCTTAAAAAAAATAACTCGGGAAAATTCCACTCAATTTGTTACGGAACTGATACTAACGACAAACTGAACCCAGATCCGTGGTTCAGTAGTCAGGATTTTCAGCTAATTCTCTAGCGAGTCGAGTAAATATGGGCATTACCATAAAACACAACCACCACAGTCTATAGTGGATTTATGGTTCACCTTGTAGTTTTATACCTTGACCGAAGACTTTAATGAAGATGACATTTTTGTTTATAATTAGCTGAGATCGCGTTTTTTCTGTTTACCCACAGACAAGGTCATTGTCAGGATTTTGATGACTTATTGACTGGTGTTAGGGCGTTATATGGTTTGTACGGGCAGGCTTTATTCTGTTTGTTTCTGGTACAAATTTGTCTTTCGATTTGAGAGTCGACGTTCGAATTTATGATATTCATATTATATGTTTATATTATATTATATATTATTATATTCGACGATTATCTAATATTAGGTGAGGTTGTTCAGTTGGTTTGAGGAAGTTAGGATTCTTTATTATTGAGTTGTTACAAGTTTCATTATCGATTCAACTTAAGTTATTTATGTTAAGTCTCGATGAAATAGCATTTTTTTCCGATTTTTAACTGAACACGAAGTTAGTGTGCACAAAAGCATGTCTAACTCAATTACGTATTTTCATATGTCGTTTGTGTGATCTTAGAAACAGTTTAATGTCCGGTGTTTTTTAATTTTGCTCAAAGCGTACTAACTAATTTTTAACTAAATTATATTATTCTATAGATATAGGTATTTCTAGGGTTATGTTCTCAAGTTTGGATTAAATGCGTAGGTACTGCTATCCGTGCGTCGGGCAGTACGTGCAATTTAAAAACGTTTACGAGCAAGCACAGGTGTGTTTCTGTTTGATCTGAACTAGATATGTAGAAAATAGAGCGAGGTTGTCCACCCTCACGGAACTTCAAACAGCATTCGTACACTAAGCTGTAGTTAGCTCTTAATTATGATTGCGAGTTGTTAGTAATTCTTGAAATTCTGCGATGAAGTAAACGTTAAAATAGTGTTTTCCTCGTGTACTTCGTGTTGAAATTCGGGTTTAAACTTCGGTTGCTTAAATTAAATAATGTGGAAATACACTTCATTCATACACAACATTTTGCATTCATGTTTAGGAATGAACTTTGCACATTTCGCCTAAGATAACAAAGTGAATTTTCAGTTTTTATTGTGTTGGATTTTCACTTCGAAAATTTTATTTATTAATTTTTTTTTCCTTCCTGTGGGTGGATGAGACATCTACAACGTAAATGCGCCACTCACCTTGAGATATAAGTTCTAAGGTCTCAAGTATAGTTACAACGGCTGCCCCACCCTTCAAACCGAAACGTATTACTGCTTCACGGCAGAAATAGGCAGGGCGGTGGTGCCTACCCGCGCGGACTCACAAGAGATCCTTCCACCAGGAATTACGCAAATTTTGCGGGTTTGATTTTTATTACACGATGCTATTCCTTCACCGTGGAAGACAATCGTGAACATTTGTTGAGTACGTATTTCATTAGAAAAATTGGTACCCGCCTGAGATTCGAACACCGGTGCATCGCTCGACACGAAGGCACCGGACGTCTTATCCGTTAGGCCACGACGACTTCGAATTTCGACTTACTTCAAACTAGTGGTCCCCCACCACTAAGTAACCACCAGTTTTAGATGTTCAATCTTGTTACAGGTGCTGTTTGTAGCGAGCAGCCTTTCAAGAGCAAAAGAAATCAAGGAAGTTCACGAGAAAGCAGTAAAGAGACATGTTCCGCTTGGATATGGATACTCACACGGCCTATCTGGTGGTCTGGTAGGATCGGGCATTGGGTATGCAGCAGGTCATTCTATTGGCGTAGGAGCACCGGCAATAGGAATAGGAAGTGGTCCAGTAGGATTCGCAACTTCGGGGATTGGGTCAGGGATCGGGATTGGGTCAGGGATCGGGATTGGATCAGGAATTGGTATTGGTGGTGGAGCGGGCATAGGATTTGGAGGCGGTTCAGCCGGAATCGGTGGTTCGGGTGTGGGTATTGCTGCCGGGCCAGCTATAGGAATCGCTACTGGTCCAGCAGTGGGAGCAGTGGGAATCACCGCTCCAGCCGTAAGCGTCGGAGCAGCCCCTGCAGTATCCACTTCTGTCGCTATCGAACCCAATCCAGTTATACTCCGCCAAGAAGTACCCAGATACATTACGAGAACGATCACTCGCGACGTTCAAGTTCCCGTTCAAGTACCAGTTCCATTCCCAGTGGATCGGCAAGTGCCCTTTCCGGTCAGGGTTCCCGTTCCCGTGCAAGTCGACAGACCAGTACCAGTGCCGGTTGTCCATCGCGTTCCTGTCGAAGTGACGAGACAAGTGCCCGTTTATTACGAGAAGAAGGTGCCGTACCCGGTCAAAGTTCCCGTGTCGGTGCCCGTACCTTACCCGGTTACTGTGGAGAAGCATGTGCCAGTCGACAGACCGGTTTACGTTGACCGTCAAGTACCAGTGCCACACCCGGTTTATGTGGATAGGCCGGTAAATGTCCCGGTCCCGGTTCAAGTGGACAGACCAGTTCCGGTGCCGCATCCCGTCGTTGTTGAGAGAAGAGTTCCAGTACCTGTTTCGGTGCAATCAGTTGCTGCAGTTCCTGCCGTTGTGGGCGTTTCTAGCATTGGTGGTGCGGGTGGTATCGGTGCTGGCGGTATTGGCGTCGGTGGAGTAGGCATAGGCATCGGCGGTATAGGCGGAGGTGGAGTCAGCATTGGTGGGCTCTCCGGTTCTGGTGGTCTAGGAATCGGTGGTCTATCCGGTTATTCTGGAGTGTCGGGAATATCTAGTTATGGCGGATATGCCTCAGGAGTCCCTGTGGTGTCTTCTGGATTTTCCTCTATACCTGTTTCCGGTCATGTGTCGCTATCGCATGGTATCCCACTGTCAGGCGCCAGCAGCTACTCCAAATACTACTCTCATGGCCATTAGGGATCTATGATTATTGCCATATGATTGCCATATAATTATTATCTATCTATGATGATCATTGTACTCTGTATTAAAAAAATATGGAAAATTTCAAATATTGTTTTAATTATTGTATTACCCTTTCTTTGTACCTCGTAAATGTAAAGTATTAATACAGCAAATGATGCAGATTAACCGGATCTCTAAACGACTACATGCCTACTTCGCAATCAAGAACAAGCCATATGGGCAATGTCAAATGACATTTTTGAGAAAATAAGGCACTCTTTTATAGTAGAATTTCGGTTTCATCAAAAGCCTTTGAGTATTGAAGAACGCCGCTATTTAGTGGGATTAAGAGCCCACTAAATAGTGGTGGTAAGCCACGATTTTTTTTATTGTCCTTGTAGGCAGAAGAGCATACGGCCCACCTGATGGTGAGTGGCTATCGTCGCCCATGGACGTCAGCAATGCCAGGGGTAGAGCCAAGCCGCTGCCTACCGTTTAATACTCTCCACAAGCCTCGTTTGAAGAAGGACATGTCATACCGCTCGGGAAACACCGTGGAGGGGAACTCAAAAGATCGAGATCAAAAGAGAAGAAGAAGAAGAAGAAGAAAGAAAGCAAAAAAGATATCTGGAAGCGCACTGTGGATGAACGTAGTGGCTCCAGGTAGTATGTATGAACTATTTAATGGGTGTACGATATTGGCGAGCTGCTGCAAGCTGCAAGCTGGGTTAAGAGTTTCTGTCTATACTCTCTCTTGTCCGTTCTTGGGTGTTACCACTGAAACTAGATGACTTGTCCTGACATTATACATCTTCCGGTACATTTTTTTCCAAATACTTTGCAACATTGCATTCTCAATATAGCGTGCTGAAGTACTCAAAACTCATTAAATACGATATGATGGTGAAAAAGGTGCTTAATAATAAAGCTTCTAAAAGAACGAATAAACATGATTACAAATCATTAATCGAAAGTAAAAAACGATTGAAATTGTTCGTGATTTAATTTAACACACAATGTTTCCTTATATTACATACACGTAAAGTAAGAAGAAGGGTTTATTGATATTAAACTATTATTGCATTAGTTGTACATAAATGCCTTTTAACTCGAACATTAGTTCGAATTTTTAGTACTATTGTATTAACGATTCTTGCACCAGAAGCTTAAAGCTTAAGATGTGGTCCATCACAAATGTAATAATTGATAAAGAGTTAATGTAAATTTTGTATTAGTATTTCCAAAAGTTCTAGATATGTTTATTACATTGATATGTGTTTCGTACGTGAAGATGTTTTTTTTTATTGCGTAGATTGATGAACGAGTCCATCTGGCGTTAAGTGGTGACCGCCCCACCCTTAAGTTTTTTTTTGGGTCAAGGGTCAAATCGCTGGACTTCCAAATACGCTTTGGGGGCATTTGGGATTCCGGATTGGAAGAGGGTAAAAACTCATCTTACTTTTTAAGATTTAACCATTTCTCAATTATCCATTCGAAAATAAATATAATGTAACATCCAAATCGGTTTTTTAATTACAAATTATAATTACAAAGACGGTCAACCGTGTGTTATGTTTGGTTGTTATATAATTATGTAATAGGAATATTGCTTCTAGAAAAGTAGATTTACTAAACTTACGTCTAAGGCAAAACATTTAAAACGTCACAAAATATTTTTAATACTTAATATAATCACTTTTTTAAAGGTTTTCCTATTTATACATATAAATAATTTCACAGCCACAAATACATATTATTATTGTTATTTATGAATATTTTTAAAACAGTCATACATACTTATAACATTTATAGTAGATTTTTAGTGTTCTTATACTTAATTAAAATTGTAGATAACGATGGTTTGATGTTAAACTTCATTTACAATTACATATGATTGATTTTTGTCATCGAAGACAGAACATGGCCCATCTTAGAGCGAAAGTGTCCTTGATGTTATGGACAAAACAGAGCTACGAATTTTTTATAAAATTCCTTTAAAGGATTACATTTTGTAGTCCTCAAGGAACATATGGTAGGCGGGCGGGCATAATTATAGGACAAAACTCATCTATGAAAATGGACTTATTATATACATATTTATATACGTTTAAATATATATAAACATATAGATAATAATCACCCAGAAACAGAGCAAACAAACCAGTTTAATACACAAGTGATTGCCCGACGTGGGAATCGAACCCACGACTCTCGGCGCGACAGTCAGAGGCGCTTTCTCTGTCCCTATCCCTATGTATGCTTAAATCTTTAAAACTACGCAACGGATTTTGATACCATTTTTTTAATAGATAGAGTGATTGAAGAGAAATAAATAAATAAATATTTACTAACAGTCACGCCACGTTAACTGGTCCCGTGATAAGTTCGTAAAGAACTTGTGTTACAGGTAGCAGATAACAGAAATAAATGTAAGATTTTTATTATACACATACACATATTTAATATACATCCATAACCCTAGAAAATACATTTATATTTATCATACAAATATCTTCCCTTGGCGGGATTCGAACCCGCGACCCCCTGTGTAGTGACCATGTCACTTACCACTACACCAGTCGGCCGTTAAGGTTTATATGTATAATAACATCCACTAAATAGTGGAGAAATCAATAATAAATTACAGTTTCCGAAGCGAAGCGAGAGCGGGTCGCTAGTTTAAAATATAATACATCGCTTATTCGGGTTCATTGACGACCCAGGGCGGCACTTGAAAGCCCTGGAGAACTCTTCGCTGTTCTGCAGGACGCCCTTTGCTCTGAAGGGCAGAGGAGTGTGTTCGTCTTTCAAATTGACCTTTAACGAGCTTTTTGTTGAAGTTCCACACCAGAGCTGTCGAGTATGTAACAGAATGTCATTAAGCTCACTGGTGTTTTTTTTTTGATGATAAAATGAAATGGTTCAGTTAAAAACGTTAGTAAAAGTCGTCGTGGCCTAACGGATAAGGCGTCCGGTGCATTCGTGTTGAGCGATGCACCGGTGTTCGAATCCCGCAGGCGGGTACCAATTTTTCTAATGAAATACGTACTCAACAAATGTTCACGATTGATTTCCACGGTGAAGGAATAACATCGTGTAATAAAAATGAAACCCGCAAAATTATAATTTGCGTAATTACTGGTGGTAGGACCTCTTGTGAGTCCGCACGGGTAGGTACCACCACCCTGCCTATTTCTGCCGTGAAGCAGTAATGCGTTTCGGTTTGAAGGGTGGGGCAGCCGTTGTAACTATAATTGAGACCTTAGAACTTATATCTCAAGGTGGGTGGCGCATTTACGTTGTAGATGTCTATGGGCTCCAGTAACCACTTAGCACCAGGTGGGCTGTGAGCTCGTCCACTCATCAAAGCAATGAAAAAAAAAAAATCTTCAAACCGGAATGAATTATTACTTCACGCTTGAAAAATGTGTTATAGTGCTACCTAGTCGTCGTGGCCTAAAGGATAAGACGTCCGGTGCATTCGTATTTAGCGATGCAATGGTAGCGGCATTTACGTTGTAGTTGTCAATGGGCTACGATAACCACTTAACATCAGGTGGGCTATGAGCTCGTTCACCGACCTAAGTAATACCAGTTTCAAGTTCCACTTTGCAGGGGATTCAGCTGTCTGACATTACAAATAAGACTTAATATCTCGAGCTAGTACAGTTAGAACTGGTGACATTCGCCTTTAGAATTATAGAGACCTATTTCGAATTTTTTGAATTTCGACTTTAATTAAAAAATGGACCTAGAATGACCGTTTTCAGCGACTGTTAATAATCAAATCACCAAATGTAGCTTAAAAAGAGACAAACTTATCCATCGGTCTCTTTCACTCTGTTCCCTTCCTCTATGTTTTTGGGTTGGAAAGCTTTATTCGATGTTTTCCAAAAAAAAAACCTTTTTTGGGTTGGGTCTTTATAATTTTAAAAGTGCGATTCGTGTTGTCTGCTCCGGTTACTATAGTAATTAAAAAAAACAACACTTACATTTCCATAGGATAGAAAGAACAATTGCTCGGGCGACATTTCTTCGAAGCCAGGTAGCTTGAGTTCGGGACCAAATTTCTTAAGGTGCTCTTTTAATGCTGCAATAGCTTCTCTGAATCCCCCATTATCTGCTATGTTTTCCGGTAAAGTGTTCTTACCATTGACCTATGTATTTAATTGAAATTTTAGGATACTGTTTAAAATTAATACTAATATAAAAAAAATCATGCAAACAAATTAACGTTTTCATGTTTAATAGTTTTTGTGTTAATTTTAATTACTAGAGATGTCTAATTATTTCTACCTGTGTTAGAGGTACCAGAGACTGACATACATACGTATACACGTTTAAATATATGCATATATACATAGTAAACACCAAGACAAAGAGTAAAAAATCCTATTCATTATACGAATACTAACTATTGCACCACCGAGTCAGCCAATGGAAACGAATGAGTAGATAGTATAGAAGATTGTTATAGAGCACTAGCTGACCCGGCAGGCTTCGTAGTGCCTCAATCGATAAATAGAAAACTTAAACTTTTCTATAAAATAAACTTAAAACAAATAAAAGGAATCCGTCCGACGGGGGACATATCAAAGAGAAAACAAAATTGTTACTTTCATTTAATTCCGAGCATTTTCATATTTATCTACCTTTTAAATCTTCTCTGAACTTCCACAAATAATTCAAGACCAAAATTAGCCAAATCGGTTCAGCCGTTCTCGAGTTTTAGCGAGACTAACGAACAGCAATTCATTTTTATATATAGAGATTTGCGAGTTTCAAACTCGAAAATAACTCACGTGTTCATTGATCTCAGGAAGGTAGTACGCAGAGTATTGATCAACGAAGCACCGAGACATGTTGACAAACGTATCTATTGTGTTATTGGTCCACCATGGGACCATGTTACCGAATTTGTCGTATCTGCGACCTGGAATCGAACAGGGTATTTTGAAATTGCGTTTTTTTTAGGAAAGATTTTGACATGACCAATTACGCGAGTAGCAGCAACCACAAAATGCCTTCGAATATTTTCGAGAGATAGCCAGGAACATTTACTTTAGAAAGAAAAGTCTCAATTATTCGGAAT